GTTACAAGCCCGCTGATAAAGTCAGCTGGTAATTTAATGGATGCTCAAGGCACGTATAGTAATGAGGGCCTCATTACTGCCAACCCTGAGCAAGGCATGTGAGTGTGTGAATATGTTTTTAGCATGCTTCTTTCTGTGTGTGCGGACTGTGCGTGTGCACTCATCTTTTATTTTGGCATTTCTGCCAGTCTGTGTGTTGAGTGCATCCTAGCAACAGCTCCAGCCTTCCACTGCAGCTGGGGTGTACAGCAGGATCTGTGCCCCAGCATTTAGCCTCTTTGACCCAGAATGCATCCTCATCTTCCCGCAGAGTTTCTCCCCTCTGTTCCACTGAGCTGATAGCAGCGCTGAGCCGAAACCAAGTTGAAGCTCTCGGAGTCAATGAGACAGTACAGTGGAGACTTAGGGTAAAATCCCCAGTCCCACTGCTAGAGGAGTGAAGAAACTCTACTGTCTCTCTGATTGAATACCTGTCTATCTGCTGTAATTGCCTGACTGTTTGAGTGTCTTTCTTAATCTACTTGCTGCCTTTCTGTCTTTCTAACTACTGCCCAGCTGGCTGTGTTTCCTCTTACTTATCAAGCCAGCTTGTTTTCCTTCACATTTATGTGTATCCACCTCCCAGAGAGGGACTGAAGTTAAGATATCGAGTGAATGTGTTTTTTGTATGTATTGATGGTAGCAGTCTAGCACATGGACCTTCTTCAGTCTAAAGAATAGACTATTGGCGATGTTCGATAATGCGGTCCAACACTTGAGCGAGTCAGTCATTTATTATTGTGCTTCCGTTGTCATACATATTTCTTCATTAAACAATCCACACAACACTTATTAATTCACTCTCACAAACTCATTATTATGGCTTTTTTTCTGATCATTGGTTTGCTATTTGCCTCCCAGTCTTAATCAAACTCATCCCCACACTGCAATAAAGAAAAAAAATCTCAACAAGCACTTACCATCAAAATAATTGCCTGCATACATTTGTTCTGCCTCCCTGAATTTCATATTGTTTTCCTCCAACGGTCATGCGGCCTGATATTGAAGATTGCTGTGCCTTTTGAAGCCATACACTCATTCAGAGATGCTTGGAGTTGCTCTCGGGACAAAGCGGGAGGGGAGGGGGTAGTTTGGAAACACGGGCTGTAGCTATGTGAACAAACTAATTAAGACATTTTCTCTACCCACTAATCAACAACAGGATTTAACCATTGATCTCCCCCTGGCCACCAACAGTACACCTAGCAAATGTGCAAGCCAAGCATTTACTTGTAATGAAAGCAAGACGTGAGTGAGTTTTGCATGATGTTGTAGACATTATGTAATATCCGTTTGTTAATTATTCATATCTTGGGGACAGAGGCCATGGGAAATACTGTAACTGTCCTGGGCAAAGCGCCAGCAAGGAGCCAATTAAGCCATTATCCAGCATTCTGAACTTAGCTCATGTCACACTGTTGATAAGTGTGTTGTGTGTGTGTGCGCTTTATGTCCAAATGCACCATGTGTGCAAGAAGCATTAAAAGATGGTGGAGCCCTCCCCATTGTGGTTGAGGGTCACTTGTTGTGACAGTGTTGAACAGAGAGTTTTTTATTCTTCAGAGTGTTTATACAATGTGTTTGAGAGTGTGAATGCAGCTCACGTCCAGCTGGAATTAGTGGAAACGCCTTGTCTCACTTGTTTACCACACACAATAATTCTGGCAATTGTTTTTTGGCAAACTTGTTACTTAAATTCAACTCTCCTGTTTACATTTCCAAATTAGGGACATGGAAAAAGTGTAGTTGTATCCGTGTGGCATGCTGATGAGTATGGCTCAAGTTTACAGATGTGAGCACATTCCCTTGACTGATGAATGATGGACAGCATATATAAGGTCCACTGTCACTTAAAAAAAGATGGAATACAGCAGCTCAGGTGACAGAAGAAAATGTTGGTATTGTTTGTTTCTGCAAAACACAAATATGTTACATGTTTGCATTACATAGGTATCATATCAGCGTTTCTAAATTGATGTATGTATATATGTATTTGAACTTACTTTGTCATCAGGAGAAATAGGGAATGTATGATGGCATGGCACCTAGGCATTGGCAAGACAGTTGCCAAGCTGCAGACCTCTGCAGACTAGGGATCTTGTATTAGCAATGTGTAGGATCCATACTTAAAATGTATGGACAAAGGCCAAAAATGGCGTGCGCCAAAAATATCCAACAGTCTCTACAGTCAGGATTCAACCTCATCATCCGTGTCTCCAAAATGTTGGTAAGCATGGGTCAAAGTTTCTCCCACCAAGTCTGTTTTGATAGATCACTACTTTTGCATACTCCTCTTTCAGGCCTTGTTTTGTGTGTACGTAGTGTTTATAAATGAGACCCCAGATGTGTTTTTTTTTTCTTTGTGAGACATTGGTGGCATTTCCAGCCATAAATGTACCACCCAAACTCAGGTGTTTTTCACCATTTCCATCAGCTATTGTGCCACCAAAACCAGGTTAACAATGGTAATTTGATTGTGCCACCAAAAGCGTTTTTTAGTCAGACATTGGAAGCATATCCGACAGCATTGTGCTACCAAAACCAAATGTTTTTTAACAAGTTATTGATGGCATTTTCAGCCATGATTGTGCCACTAAAAGCATGTAATTTTTAGTCAGACACTGGCTGCATATCCAGTGGCAGTGTGTTACCAAAGCAGCATTTACAGCAGGGATTATGTCACCAAAACTGAATGCTTTTTAGTGAGACATTGGTGCCAGTTCCAGCCGTGATTATGCCACCAAAAGCAATTTTTGGCAAAACATTGGCAGTGTTTCCAGCCATGATTGTGCCACTAAAAGCAGAGAGATCTGTGGCATTTCCAGTGACGACTGTGACAGCAGAACTGGGTGATTCTTAGTGAGACATTAGCTGCATTTCCAGTTGTGGTTGTGCCACCAAAAGTGGGTGTTTTAAGCCAAAACATTATCTTTTCCTCACCATAACCATGTGTTTTTAGAGCCTAAACATAACCAAACATTAACAGCATTGTTGCACACAAACAAACATAAAGTTTCAACATTTTCCTTACATAATATAAATCTTACATATTATACACTCGATTATACACATACGATGCAACATTTATTCTGTGTACACTGCATATCCGTCATTCTAATGTGCCCCCTCTTCTATTTCAAGTCACTATACTTTAAACTACACTATTTGAGTGTGTAAGCTCCACAGTGTTCAGATTTCAGGCGTTGGCATTGATTTTTAAGCTACTGTTAAGAAAGCTTTATAAACTCAGAAATAATACAAGTATGACAATAACTTGGTCACAAAGAGATTGAGATGGAGGCTGCATTTTTACTAATTGTAGAGTCAAAATACCGGTGTTAAAAGATCTGCCTTTGTATCTTCATCTGACATTTTACTCAGGATGCCAAGTGTGGGAGCTAACCTTAGAGACAGACAGCTGGCTTTGAATGTATGTGCTTTATTTACATATAAATTACGTTGACATTTATTCATTTATTCAGCAGTATACAAAGGTTATATACATTCCACAGGACTTTTAATGACCATTGGAACCTCTGTGAACTGGGGCTAAATATGTCTTGGATATGTTTACACCTGAATTTGACATATTTTGGCTCCAATTACAATCCCACCAGCCAGTAGGAAGGCGAACGCTCAGGAGGAAGTGCTTGTATCTTGCCTAACCAGGGTTAAGATGTCCTGCTGGTGTTTTTGTCATAATAACTGCTTTGCTTTGTCTGTTGGTTTGTCCATTGCCCTACTTTGCCAGCAGCATCTTATTGTGCAAACAATTTGAATTTGAGACGCAGCCTCCTCCTAGCCGAGCGATATCCCTCCTGTGGTGAGAGGCAGGATTAATTTGTCTCCCTAACTCCCACCGCACATGGAGGAAGATAGAGAGGGAGAGCCGAGGTTGGAGGGGGATGGGGGCTTGTGTAGGTAATACCACCACCACCTATTATCCAAGGAGTATCATTTAATCGGGCCTTTGTGGGACGATATTGTATTTGGCTGTTTCAGTGTGGTGCTGGCGGGGCGCCTCATGTATGATTATGTGTCTCATCGGTTTCAGCCCTGTGTCAGTAATCTGTTTGTAGCGAGATAGAGAACACACAAGCTCTGTAAATAATGCAAATCTGCTACTGGGCTTCACTTTGTCTTTCTCTCCTGCCATCCTTCTCTCTGTGGCTTTCTTTCTCCCATCTTTATCTGTCTCTCTTTCTTTCTCTTTCCCATTCTTTCTCACATAAAAGTCAGGATTAGGCATTCTCTAAACTCCTGCACAACAATAATCGGAACCACCCTCCGTATCCAATCATTCAGCCGAATGTGTGTGTGTGTGTGTGTGTGTGTGTCTGTGTGTGACGAAATGAACCAATCCTCTGACAATCATTGGTTTGACAAGGTGATGCATATTCTTATGGCAAGATGTATGACTTTTTTGCCCACCACCTTAATGAAATATAAAATCACAAACTTTCTCGGGCTACTGTTCCTTACCGGGGCTTAAATCACGAATGGATTTCGTGTTGTGATGCTCGTGAGGTATAATTGATCCTGTCTGCTCGCGGCATGGGAATAGAACAATGGGAAAAACAACAAAATGGGAAAAGATCAGAGGTTGTAATAACCGCAATATGACACAGCTTTGTCTGGGCTGCCTCACAACAACAACAACCATCATCAGATGTGTGTGTCGCCCGAACCCCAACCCCGCACTTGCCCTCTGATGAAAAAAAAAAGAATAAAGTGCTGACCCAGTGGAGTGATTAGGGATTTTGATTTGAACATGCAGAGTCTGGCTATGTCAGTTGCTAATTATAAAATGATAGGGGGAAAAAGGTTTGCAATTAAAAATCACATCAGGAGCCTGGTAGCAGGATTGCTGGATTAGGTGCATCCTCCAGGCAGAACAGTTAGGCACCCAGGAAGCCCTTTGTGTATCTGAATTGACTTCATGCTCCCTTTCTTCCTTACAGAGATCCTGAGTGGAGGCGTGTATGTTGACCAGAACAAGTTCCTGTGCCATGCAGACACAATCCATTGGCAGGACATTGTCAAAAACCCTCGGCTCCATGATGTGGTGGTGCCCACAAACAGCAGTGTCACATGTAAGTAACTTTACGAACACAAATGTAGAAGACAAGAAGACTGGATTTGACTTCAACCTTTCTTTAAAGGAAGTTTTTACTGAGAGCGTTGCTGCACAGTTAAATCAAAGTCCAATCTGCTGAACACTGCTGAGTAGCGGCACTGAAGCAGTTGAGGCTTAAAAGAGTTCTCACCAATTTAGTAGTATAAATTCTAGTGCAGCATTAGCATCATTGGTTTTATGATAAACAGTTTCAGAAAAGTATCACAGATGCAGCACGACAAGAGATATCACATTTGTTATTCTATACCTTCTTCTTCTTCTTCTTCTTCTTCTTCTTCTTCTTCTTCCTCCATTACCAGTATTGGGGGTCACGCTTTACAAAAGTAGCACATCACAGTAATACATTACTTTTAAGCAGTAATGAAGTAAGATAACACATCACCGACAGGATTTTGGGCAATATTATCACATTTACGATGTCACATAACGTGTTGCCACCTGAAATAAACTGTTTATTTTTTTCATTTTTCATTTGTCCACACTGATCCACACCACTCAACTTCCGCAAGTGCAACAACAGAAAAAAAAAACAGCTCCGAAAGTTGCTGTGTGTTGTCATATCATTGATTATACGCTACCTTGTAGAAGGGTGGGCAAGTAGCTGGCCTCTGGTTTGTTCTTTCCCTGTCCCAGTGATGTCACATCTAGATGATTTTAGTATATGTTGGATGATTCCATTCACATTCCCTACAGCCGCAGAGCAATTCTGGCACACAGTCCCGTTCTTACCCATAACTTTCTCTCCGGTGCTGCTGCAGCTGACTGGCAGGCCCGGAACTGGCAGATGGGTCTTCCAGTTCTGGTGTATACTTGCGCCTGTCATAGTGACTGACCCGCAAGCCATTCCATTAGTTGTGCTAATTATCAGACTTTGATCCTCTGCCTGACCCTCCCTGTGTCCAAGGCCATCATTTATTTTAAACAGTCTAGGCTATTAATTGGTTCCATATCATCACGCTATTATTAATATAAGCAGGGGATTTTAGTACAAAGTGGTAACTGCTGTATGTGAAAGCATGAATGGGTCAGACCTGCAGCGCTGGATTTGAAAAGAACTGTAATAAACTGGAGCTGCTGTGCTTTGAAGGTAACTGGTAATATGCAATATATTACATTATGAGAGTAACTTGCCCAACACTGTCCAATACCCACAATGGAAGTTGACCACCAACACATTGAAAACGACCAATGCATTATGCTTTTAGCAGCTTATGTAGCTATGAGACGCTAGCCTCAAGCAGATATGAGGAGCAGGCTGCAAATGTCATATTAACTCACTCTTTCTAATTCCACACCCCCAACTTTTTTCATTATCAGTTTTGTTGTCTTGAGTCACTACAATTTATCAGATTTTCCACAGCTCCCCCTGAAGCTTACTTATACTCTTACTTACTTCAACATTTAGCTTAAAGCACATTTTTTCACACTTTCAGTTGCACTCCCCAAGACCTGTAAACTGCCCTTGATTTGTGAAATTGGCCCAGTTCCACTTTAATTGCCTCGCTCAATAGCACTTGGTGGTAATGAGAGAACAGGCGAGTGCTGCTCTTTTACTTTACCCAGATTTACCCTGTAACCTTCAGGTCCTCACATCAGTCGTACCAAATGAGTCTTTTTGGCTACAAAAGTTTAAACCTTTTCAAAATTTCCTTTCTTGTTACTGCACGTATAAACCACAAAGATTCTTGTGTTTTGTTCTGTTGCTATATTTTATAATTCTTTTCATGGCACATTTATCTGTGCACCTGATGCACAGCTCCCCCAAGGTTTTGGAATTTAAAATCACTTTTACATTCCTCACTGCAAGTTCAGACTGTAATTATTTTTTCACCTCAAACGGCGGCAATGGTTGGCACCTCTAAGGGTGTTTTCGTAGTAGGTACCATTGAGTCCCAGTGGACATTTGTATGTGGGGCCCATTTGGATAGTTAATGGGCTGAAAAATGGGCCTTATATGGGACTGCCCACAGGTGTCATATTGGCCCCCTTGACATTTGCCCACATGGATGGGTTTACCCTGGGCCCCAGATAAGATGCCCATTTCAGACAAATATCCACTTTGTACTCAGGTAGCCCCAGCACGTGGGCAAACTCACCCATGTGGGCAATTGGTATGGGGCCAATATGGAACACATGGACAGTCCAATATAGGGCCCATTTTTTAACCTATTTACTACCCACATACAAATGTTGTCTGGGTTCGTACTATAGGTGAGTATGATGGCCCCCTTCTCTTCTCACCTGCCACGCAACTTGCACGTTAGAAATGTTCCGTAAACGAGTACACTTGCGTCATTATCTACGTGATATTTTTGATGTGCTGTAGTGTAATAAGGGCTCTGCAGACGGACCCTGCTGCCATGGGGACCATTAACAGCAGGGATTGGTGGAGCAGGGAGGCAAAATTCTGCCCCTGGCTTGAGGAGGAGCCACTGCTGTCAGACACTGAGCACTCCGCTCCTGCTGGAACTTTATCTGCAGGCTAAAGGCAGTAGCAAAGCTGGATCTGGGTCCGTCCAGGCTGTGCTGCCATCTGATATAGCGGCATCAGTATTAATTTGAGACTGACTTTATAGCCAGTTTAAAACTCCTTGTAGTCCTGTTACACAGCAGTCCACTTCTGTGTTATGGTACAGTTGGTGTTTCAAGTGGTCTAGAGCCTTTTTCTTGGGGAGTTGTGGCGGTAAATGAGGATAGGATCTCGATTTAAAGCATCGTCAACTCTACCTGAAGGTTCCTGGAACTGGAAATGTACAGGACTCTGAGAAGACTCAAAGTTAAGTTTGGAAAAGCAGCGAGTTGTGACAAGAAAAGTGGTCCAAAGAAGTCCCCACATCTCAACCTGCTCCATTCACAATAAGTGACCGAGTATAAGCAGCAAAACATTGTCATCACAAAACCACCCCTTGACCCCATTCTGTCACTCTGCTGTCATAACAGTCCACACTGACTGCTCATTTACATGACATTAATGCCCTGCTGTAGCCAGCTGGAAGACATGTTAATAGATGTTTAGAATTATGAAGGGATTTATTTGGATAAAATAAACACGTTCAATCTGTCTGGGGTGAAGGGGGTTGGGGGTTGAGGTGGTTGTCAGTGACGTTAAGATGCATTAAGTCACCTCTTCCGACCCTTTACTGTTCATTTACTGACTTAACCTCTTAACACACACTGCTTTTGTTATTAATTTAGTGCTCAAGCTGTTTGACATTTAAATCTCTTGTTGTTGTTGTTTTTTTCTTCTTAAGCTCTCTAGTCTCATTCATCAACAAATACATAATTACATAGTAAAATACATTATGGTTATGGAAGAAGACAGAGTCTGCATATGTCCTTGGATTTCCTCACACAGTGCTCGCTGAAGGCTCCAGATGCAGATTAACAGCTCCGAGCATTGATATTCTGCTCAATCACCCTCCTCCCTGCAGCCCCGTTAGCCCTGGATCGACCCTTACTCCTGTGCAAGTCTTCCACTCCGCCAAAAGATCAAGGGTCTCCCAACCTGTAATCCACAATTGAGAACATAATCTCCATTTCATTCTTTGGGGAGACACAAGATTTACACTGTTATTACTTGTGACTTATTTGTGCCACGGTTGTTGTGTTTATTGGTTCTCTTTTCAAACCCAGGACGGTGATTTTAAAATCCATGCCCCGTTGATCCAGTCAAAAACCCGGCCATCTGTCTTTCGCCCCACACCAGCCCTGGCATGGCAGCATTCTCGACATTTTAACCTTCGAGGGCTGTTTTAAGAAAGCTGTAAAAGATTATGGTGCAGGAAGAGGGGTGGGACAGGTTTATTCTAGGTCAGTGAGAATTTATAAGTTTAGATAGTGAAGACCTTGGACACTAAATGAAAACTCTTTGTCTTGACTTCACAGGGCGGAGAGGAGAACAGAGATATAACTGCAGAGGTGCTGCACACTTGGCACTGTCAGACAACCACTTATGGCTGGCAGACATTTGTATTATTTCCCTGTTTAGGTGCTGCTTTTCATACAGTCAAGGCTGTCGACCTCTCTTTCTCAAGCATTGTCAAAGTGCTGGTTTGAGGGGACCAGGCTGGAGAAACAGAGAGAAGCAGAGGGGCAGACTGGAGAAAGACAAAGAGAGACAGGGATAGACATTAAGTGAAAAAGAGCCACAGAAGAGTGATGAATCAGCGAGGGGTGGATTGAGGATGAAAGAGATGAAATGTGTGGTGGAGAGGGGCACGGACGAGGAAGAAGAGGAGGGCAGAAGATGGAGAGGCTCGTGTTGGGGAATAGAGTCAGTATCAATGCTAATAGCTCTCATCTGGAGAGGCTGATGGACAGAGGACAGCACTTCTGCACTTATCCAGGCTCACTTCCCCCGCACTCAATTACTAGACAGTCAATTAAGTCCTCCAAAAAACCCAGAAAGGCACTGGCTGAAGCACTGAGGGTATGACGCGGCTTTCTGCTCAGGCTTTCTGCTGCTTTACTGCTTTTTATCTCAACGTGATGTGTTCTAGTTTTATGCTGGGCTGATTGAGAGTGGAGCAACATAAATAATTTTCTTGTTTTTCACAAGACAACCTGTGCCAAGGTTATTTAAATTTTTCCTATGACTGGAACAGCACATACCAGTCAGGGGAGAGGATGTGCTGTTACTAAAAGACAGAAAGTTTCATCATCTTTCTTGCATAATTATAAGAATACCTGGAAGAACAAATGGTTAAATTCCAGTCCAAGTGAATGGTGAAAAATGACATTGAGTTAGTAATTACAACAGTTATTTAAATCAAATCAATTAATTAACCTATCTTCATCATATAATTAACCACATACCACACCTAAGAAGTAATCAAGTACTTACATTTCTTGCAGATTGTGAGTGCTTGATAATTATTATAACTGGAACCTGGCATAATTAACGCAAAGTGCTTGGAATGCACTTATAAAGATGACTGATATCTTAAGAACAACACTTCAAGTCAATTTAATCCCCCTGCACAGAAAACATCACACAAGCGCACACGCACAAACACACATTAGGTGCATTTAAAGGTGAGCTAAAGAGACACCTACCTCCTCACTCACTTTTTGGATCAATTTGGGCTTCAGTGAAGTGCTTGATGGCACACGGACTCAGCTAACTGCCTCTAACCCATTTTAGGGTTCAGCTAATATGGATTTTTGAAGGCTGGTACTGATCACATTTTGTGATTAAGCAACCATTTGAAATGCCAATCATCTTTTCCCTTGAACTTGTGTGCAGGTCAGAAGTGCCATCGTTCCTGTAATGGTCGTTGCTGGGGACCCAAAGAGGACCAGTGTCAGAGCTGTAAGTACATTACTGCTACTATTACTAACATGTGGCCTTTTAGGAACTGTTTGTTACTTCAGAGGAGAGGGGCTGGCAGGGGTGTGACTGTTTTTTTTTTTTTTTTCTACAAACATTTTTGTGTGAGCCTCTCCGACTGACCGGGGGAAAATGCATGATCATTTCTCCACCATAAATGGCTATATTTTTTTTTATATTCATGCCAAATGTAGGCATTGGAGCCAGTGCAACGAGCATGGAGCATGGAGAACACTGGAGGGAGTAAAAGTTATCACCAAAACACAGTTTTTTTTAATTTATTTTATTTTATTTATACTTTATTGCAAAGATTGACAACAATTGTTTTTTTCACTTGCATCACAATTTTTTTTTTTTTTTTAAATATAAATTATAAAAATGAAGTGACACATACTCAACATAACCACAAAAATATTGAATATAAATAAACACAAATAAATACAAGGTTTTAAATACATGAAAATACTAAAAAAAAAAAAAAAAAAAAAAATGGGGGTGGGGGGGGTCTTCACATGAACTCTGTGTGTGTGTGTGTGTGTACTTATAAGGAATATGTGTGCACCTATACATATACATATACAGTACATACACATTACACACACAAATCACAGCGTGCACGCAACTGGCATTCGCAACATGTGCATGTTAATGCCTGTTATCTTAAGTAAACCATGACATACACAACAGTGGTAGCTGTGGCCAGAATCATATGGCTTGGCACACATTAGTAGATTTAAAAAGCATTTGGATGTTCAGAAGTTACTTTCAAACAAAATCCTGGAGTTGAAAAATGCCTTGGTTTACTGCACTAAATTAGCTCTGGGGTCGGTCTGTCCCCCCTTAACTCCAGATTTTCATTAAAAGACCAGTGTGTAGGGAGATGGTAGAAATGGAATGTAATGTTCATAAGTATGTTTTCAAAAGTGTATCATCACTTGAAACTACGAATTATTTTGTTTTTGTTTGGTAAAAATACTGCAAGGACGCTCTTAAATTCTGGTGCCTCTCCCTACCCATTTTGCACCCCTCCCCCTCTCATAAATAACAAACAGTCCCTTAGTGGTTTCTTGTGAATGGCATCTAGTGCCACAGTTCGTATGCTTATATGCATATATGCACATAGATGGTGTATAAACATTGTTCACTTTAAAGATATATGATGCAGGGTTTTCTTAAGTACTTAAATAATGTATAGACTCATACAGAAGTAATCCCTCTAAGTCATCACTTATGACTCACTAGACGTGTGTGGTGCTGTATTTATCTGCAGAGACTCTACCTGCTGCTTGGATTGTCTTATTTCCCTCTTATTTTCTGTTTTCAGAATGTTTATGGTGTGTACCCAGTGTAGTTATTTCTGTTTAAAAATTCCTATTGAACTATGGTTGACATCTATCCACTGTCATACACACACACACACACACACACACACAAAAAAACTGACCTAAGATCAGGGACACAATTTTATGCTTTTATTGTGAAAGACTGGGCTAGTTTCTATACAAGGGTATGAAATAACGTGTGTCTAACTAATGTGCTCGTGACATTTACAAGTGTCAAAGCTTCAAATCAGGCAGTTTAGGCAACTTACTGTAGGTCACGAATGGCATTTAACATGCATGTGAATGTAGCCATTAAAGTCCAAAGTGCCAGATCTTATTTGGTTAACTTAACTGATTTAAAAAAAAATCATCCATGTGTGAATCCTGGATTTTTTTTTTTTTTTTTTTTTGTAATTAAAGGTAAGATCTGGAGGATTTTCAAACAAAACAAAATATAGACATATACAAATGAAATCCTGCTTAATCATCACCTATGGGCTTCTACTCATGNTTAAAGGTAAGATCTGGAGGATTTTCAAACAAAACAAAATATAGACATATACAAATGAAATCCTGCTTAATCATCACCTATGGGCTTCTACTCATGTGTGGTGGTGACTCTGTTTGCAGAGCTCCAGCCCTTTAACTGTATTTTGATGTTTTTGTGAGCTTGGACCGCTTCTGGGCGGAGATTTCCCCAGCCAATGAGAGAGCGCAGGTGCCGTGCCAGAGTGTGTCCGAGCGTGTCCGAGCTTGCACCAGCGCGAGCCTTGCCTGAACCTCTTCTGTGAAGCTTTCTTCCGTACCTCTGGGCTCCATACACCCGGGAGAGTTGAGCCCGATAGGAGGGGCCGAACTTGAATGTGTGTTTACAAACAGCAACTGGAAAATCCTCCAGACCCTACCTTTAATATCCCGATCCTGATAAATCACATAAAAGCATCTGTCAAATTTAAACTGGTACTAAATAGCATTTTGTATCTTTTTTTACTCTTCTTTGATCTGTTCTGACAAACTCAAACTAGAAATATAGCTCATTTACTGACTACAAAATTAATTTCATAATATCTAAAGCTGCAGTATGCCACTCTGAGATAAGATCAAATAATGGACGTGGTCTTCCCTTCAAATAATTTCTTTTCAAATAGCTAATCAAAACTATGCTAAAATAAGTTGAACCCCAATTAAACCGAAAAAATCGAGATCAACTAAAATCATGTCCAGACACAAGAGAGAAAAAAAAAACATATTACAATATTACATTTATCTCTTCAGCTTAGTATTTAACATAGAGGTCATCTGTATATTCGGTTTTCATTAATTTGAAAAGAACTAAACGGGATTCATATGTGCACAATATTATAATCCAGCACATACTTTATTCCACTGGCCTCCAGTTTAAAGGCATGGGATAAAGATACCTTGCTGATCCTGTGTCATTTTTACCCCAAATGAAGCATAGCGTTGATACAGGCAGAGCAGTGAGGTTGTGCTTGTGTTGGCTGATTGGCATCAGCTGTTTGCAATATGCTTCACCATGTTTGGCTCAATCACAACTGTTTGGCCCGTATCACCCAATCATATTCACGCAGGCACACAGTGCAGACGTTAAGACCTTACACTCATCCCTGCTACTCTGATGATAACTCATCTGTTGCATTAGTAACAATTTGTTTGATGGTTTTATCAGCTGTACTTTCCATATTAAAGGTCTTGTGTTTCTTTGGCTAAATGACTGAGGAAAATGTACAGTTCTAGCATTTTTAAAATGTCTTTAAACAACTTCTAATTGTAGGTTGACATTTGTAATATAATATTATTGGCTGGTATTTAGAGAAGAGGAATGCTTGAAACTCTTTTTTTAATTTGTCAATAACATCATGAAAAATTAATTTACATCTAAAAAAACCCAATAGTTAATAACATTTTTATTTTTTAGCATGTTTAAGTGTGACTTGAGTGGGATTTATACTCTATGCAGAGCCTACGCCGTAGCCTACACATGTGACCTACACTGTTGTAAGCATTTTGTGTGGTTTTGTCTGTGTCACTCTGCAGTTACACCTCCAAAACACTAATCTCCACGGGGTTTCTGTGAAGGGCTGTAAATTTGAGTTGATTCAAAACACAAACAAAACACACATTAAACATGGCTTTATAGCAACAATTTCAAACACAAGTACACAAATCAGCTTCACTATAACTCGCAGCATTCAGAGAGAGAGAAAGCATTTGTCCTTTGCTGGACACATTTTCCCCACAAATACAACATGCTAAAGTTCATAGCACAAGCTTATGACATTTTACATTGTATAAATTAGCCTAGCAGCTAGCAGACTTTTCCTCTACTCATATGAAGCCTGGGACAACAGCAACATTTAACAAAGGTAACATTACAACGTTTGTTTCCATTACAACTCACAAGGTTCACCGACAAAACAGCCGTCTTATACTGAACACGTTTTCCAAACAAATAACATGCTAATGTTATTAGCACAAGCCTATGGCATTTTACATTAGCCGAGGGACGAGTGGAGATTTCCTCTGATCGTATGAAGCTAGGATAAACCACACACACAAGACTTAAGATGCTATTTGGTGGAGGCTTTATTGTCTTCACAATTTTCTGAAAGTAAATAAAGTCTTTGTTTCCCCTGAGGGAAATGGTTTCAGAGGTCTGCGTGGCCGCGACGTGTAGTTACATTTCTGGGAAGATGCACATCAGGCTATGGTGTAGGCTCTACATCAACGCAGAGCCTATGCTGTAGGTACGGCGTTATTTCCTGCATTAAATTAATATATTTAGTCTCAGTTTACCCTAATTAAATTCATAGTGAGAGACAGTTTGAGGGGTTTTAGGCAGGTTTCATCTTTGCCATTGGGCCAGCTATGTTCAGGTATTCTCGAGCCTATAATGACTGAGGAAATACCACCACCTCCAGCTGACACACACACACACACACACACACACACATGCACACACACATGCACACACATCAATACTCAGCTGCATCCCTAGACCCCAAACACATCTTCCACAAACCCTCCTGCTGGGACCTCCCACCCTTCATACTAACTAATGGCAGCTGAGAAAGAGTGTGAGAACGATGCACTGAGTCCATCAGTAGGGAGGAGGGGGCTGTGTGTTATTCCCTCTCCTTCAGTCATCTTTCTAAGGCTCTCAATTCTCTGTCAGTGTCTCTCTCTCAGGCTCTGCCCATGTTGCTGTCTTTCTCCCGCTCTCTATCTCTGTCTCACATACACATACACACACACACAAAGGACAGTGCACAACACATACATGTACACAAACACACACACTGAGACACACTCACATTGCAAAAGCAAAATCAATGAGGTATAAAAGCTGCAGGCCACAGAGCGCCAGTTGGCTCAAACCAAGGACTAAAAGGGAGAGAAAATAATAATTCTGCTTTTGTGGCCCCGGGTCTGAAAAGGTCCTTCAAATTAAACCAAAGACGGGTCGCTTATCACCGGCTTCCAAACACATGACCGTTACATACAGTAAATGGTGACTTTCCGGTCTGACACTGCTATGTTTAAGGATTAGGTTTAGGCAAAAATTATACTTGGTTAAGAGGGACTTCATAGCCATGGTTATATACGAGGTTGGGGAAGGATCATGGTCAGGATTAAAAG